TATTTTAATTAATTAATATTTATCTATTTTAATTAATGTTTATTCTGTTTTTACTGTAAACGGCCCAGAGTCACTCTGTAGTGAGATGGGCGGTGACAAATTTGAAATATAAATAAAAATAAAAATAATAAGAAGAAGACCCTCTTAGAGGAATTTGGTTTCTGTAGCTCACTGAAAATGGAGATTTTTCTCAGCCAGGATGAGTTATTGCTAGTGGCTTTATTTTTTGTGAGAGGAAAAAATAAATGTTGTACTTACTTAGCAGTATTATACTGTGCAAAGAAGTTGTTAAATTTACCAAACACACAAAAGCTGTTTTACAAATCTGTTTAAAGAGTTACCAAATATTTATACATGGAGTTCAACTTTAGGGTTTGTTTGTTTGTTTTTGGCATAGCTTGGATTACCGTATATAAACTTCCAAAAAGAGAAATATGTCTTGAGTGGTGAGGTCTATAAGCCATGCAACAATATTTTCTATAGAATTTAAATCTACATGGGCATCAACCCAAAATTATGTGGCAGGTTGCACAGTTTGCATACAGAATGCCTCATGTTCAATCTTTTTGAGATATTCTTATCCTACACCATTACTGCTGTGATTTCTTTACAATCTTTTTGTGCGGTAGGATATTGTAGTGCACAGCCTTGCCAAAATCAATAATAAAATTACATGAGTGCACTTGTCCGTGTTAGACTAACTTTCCAATGGTACCTAACAAGAGAATGTAAACACAATTGCCTGTATAAACCCCAAGGACTTTGGGCTAAACTAACCAAGAGTTTAAGAAAATACGGTATTCTTTATGATAACTAGAAATATTTATAGAGTGTGAAAATACTGGCTTTTCACAGCAAAGAGATTTCCTCATAGGAGGAACTGTACCACAGCTCAGGTACTGTGATAAAGTCATAATAAGCGAAATGTCAACACAAACAGTGCTCTCTGTTAATACTAGCTAGTGGTGGAACTAAAATTGAATGTAGTTTCCCTTTTCTTCTTGCAGCCTTTTTCGCACTCCTAAAATATATTTGGGGGTGGGTGGGTGGTGCTCTCCACAGTAAACTTTGGAAAGCTTGGAAAATTGCTGAAAGGAAAAGAAAGTGACATGCACCTGCACATCAATTTCACTTTATTGTTTTGATTTGATATGCATCTGTTTTAAAGGAAACATCTGTCTTGAATACCAAGAAATTAGGGATGCAAAATTGACTTAATTTTTTAAAAAATGATTTTGTAAAATATTCTATTCACAAAATCTAAATAAGCCTCTTTACTGAACCTTAATAAAAATAGTACTTTAAGGAGATCCTCTGTAATATTTACAAATCAAACAGTGGTCTTATGTGCGAAAGAGGAAAGAAAACAAATGACTATCACTGAACCACTACAAGACAGATAGTTTCAAGTGTGGATTTTTACCATATTTTTAACATAGCAGTATGATTAATTCTTTCTGTTAGGATTTAAGTGCATTTTGCAGTGAACAAATATTCAACCACAAGAAACTGAATGAATGCATTCTTTGATTAGAAATAACAATAGCCATAGTTGAAAAGATTCAGTGTGCATTGGGTAAGCATGGTTCAGAAGGCTTTTATGTAAGTTAGAAATCCCAAAGTGAGTTGTGTATTCTAAAATTCATTTAGGTAAGAACCAATATTATTTAGACTAAAATCAACCATGTATTTGCATGAAAAAACCACAAAGTTTTATTATCATGTTTCTTCCCAATTTCATTAGCCATTCTTTATATCGTTCATTATTAATATTGTTGTTAATATCACAAGATGCCTTCAGCGTATTCTGATATTCACTCTTACTTACTCCTAACAGATATACATCTAATGTGCTGTACTCCATATTCAGTTGTACAGTTGTAGCAGAAATTATTTAGTTGGGGAAAAAAGAACTGCACCATACTATGTAGAAAGGTCCTCAACCTTTTTAGTCCAGGGAGCACATTTGATATTTTGAGAGCACATTGTAGGCACTTGGTGAAATACCTGCCATGTAAAGGTTGCCTTCACCAAATGGCTACTGTAGAAGGAGTGGTCAAACAGCAGGCTTTTTACTGCCCCCTCAAGGACATTTGTTTTCAATCCTTTGCTTATCATTGTTGCATTTACAAACAAAGCACTAGGCTGTTCCCACTCACCATTTTTATTTTTTAAGAATACCCACAGGGCCTATGTGGAATAAAGTTGAGGATGGCACTTAGCTTTGCAGCATGCCATAATTTTTTAAATTCTGTTTAGAATTAAATAATCTTTTAAATGTTTAAAAGGCAGAATGGGCTAAGAGACTGGCAGATACTGGCAAGTCCATGGGTAGTGAAATCAAAATCAATTACAGCCATAAAGCCATTATGTATTATACTTACATAATATTCATTATTATTTCTTTGCTTTTATTCAGAACTGTTTAATAAAGAATGATGAGAATGGATACTCTGCTATAGTAGGTGATTTTGGCTTGGCAGAGAAAATTCCTGACTATAGGTAAGTATTATTGCTGAATCTAATTGGAGTTTAAGATCAGTAGTACTATAAAGTTAAGCTAAATAATTGTGAATCATTGATCATTGCCTTTTAAGATTCAGCATTTGACTTAAAAGTCCTTTGGATTATTTATTGAGCTGATTATATTTTAGCCTTTGAATATAATCATTCTCTATCTGCATGAACAACAGAAGATTTGTGAACCTTAAAGACTAGTACACTTATTATAACATACGTGTTTGTATTTTGCAGGTTACTTTATTAGCTAAGGAGTTGACATTTTCCCCTTCCATACATTTTGTGAACCTATCCACTATGGTTTTTAAATCAACCTTTAAACCTAGCACCCTTGTAGTAGGATATGAACACCAATAAAATCAGACTTTATCATTTGGTCTAAAACAACTAGTTCATGCTAGAATCTCCTTTGGAAATGCCTTTGCCATAATAAATGGGTTAATTTTTAAGATGCCATAAGCTTTTTTGTTGAGTTGGCTGCGATGTATTTCTATAGATAGCTCTGTGATAGTTGTTACCATGAATTAGCAGTAGGGATGAAAGGGATCTTTAACATAAAAAAGGACTTGCTGTCTTTATACACTATAACATTACAGCCCCTTCCAGCCCACAGTATTTGTAAGCAGGCTGAGTTTACAGTGAATATACTCAACTCTTCCTTCATGTGGTCCAGAACTGAATTTTAGTACTGAATCCTGGAAATGCTGGTGGATTCCAGGATTTTTTCCTGAAAAGCATTCCTTCAGAAATCATTATTTTTTTCCTTCTCTGCACTCTTCTGCAAATCATGATTGTTAAAAGGTGCTTTTTATGCATAGATATTATTTATAATAGGTCACTGGTTCATTTAATAAAATGTATTTAGGAACAATTTTGCAGCTTTAAAAAAACCTTTAAAATGTCTGTGTAGATTTAGATTTGATTGCCATGTATAAATGACTTGCACACATGGATTCAGCTTTGCTTAAAGTTTTCACTGAGGAACATGAAAATTTTCTACTTTCAGGAGGCTTTGCAATATACCTCCTAGGTGGAATATCTTTCAGAACTGTGAAATATGTGAAATAATGACAAAATTGTCCTATATACTTTGCTTGGGATAGAATGGTAGTCATTCCCATACTGGAACTAAAGGGGTTGCGTAATGTTTATGAGAGAGCAGTTCTAACAGTTGCCTTTCTAAATTTGTTGAAGTGAAAAGCTGCCAGTGGTAGGTTCTCCTTACTGGATGGCACCTGAAGTGCTGCGAGATGAGCCATATAATGAAAAGGTAGGTACGTTTGAAATAAATACTGTTAAATAAAGTGTTGCCCTGGAACATTTAGGCAAGGAGAACTTACATTGCACCTCACATATTTTCTTTTATGAAGGCTACATTTTCTATTTCTAAGTCTTATGGTTTCACAGCTAGATTATCTCATGAAAATTCTGATGTCTGTGATAAACATGAGATACTATGGGGCAAGTGTTTGCTTTCTGTATTGAGATAGAAGCATTTAAGTGTTTATTTTTAGCTAACATTGATAAGGATCTATTATATTGTTCCCAATCATTTGTGAAATAGTGATTTATAAAGCTGTAAATCCAAAGTATGCAACTTACCAAGGGACAATGCCACTTTTTCCCTTAATTTTTAATTTTTTTTTGTTAATAACAATATTTCTCCCAATAAGATGTAGTTTTTTAAAAAAATCAGTAGAAGCTGATAACAGTTTTTCAAGTTTTATAGCTCCCTCTAATGATAAAGAAACAGCCCTGCAGTCTTTTTTTAGCTGGCCGAATTTTGGGGGCTTGGGAACTTTATAAGTGGTGCAGTGGGTATTTTAAGCTTCTGCAGTGTGTTAGGCACCCATTTTACATGTGTTAGATGATGGGAAGAAAGGAAGGCTCTTATAGTATAAGGGGAAAAACCTGTGACAGAAGGGAACAGAAAGAATATACCTGTATAATAAATCTGGGATCATACTCTCTTTCTTAGGCAGATGTGTTCTCATATGGGATCATTCTTTGTGAGATTATAGCAAGGATCCAAGCAGACCCAGACTATCTCCCACGAACAGAGGTGAGCAAAGTGCACTGATAAGGACTGTCAAGAAAAAAATATTGAGTTTCACAGGTCATGAACTTCCATACAGTTGCTAAATGTGCTATAAAAGTTGCAATAAAACAATCCTTTGTTACATTTATATATGCCAAGCTTGGCACAGAACTCTGTTATCTCTCTCCCTCCCTCCCTCCCTCCCACATTTAAAGTACATAATTATCCTTGCAAATAAATGTTGTACTAATTAGCCATTTTTTAAGAGATTAACTGTTGTAATACCGAACAAGTTTCTGTGGCTTCTTCATTCCTGGGAAGAGGACAGTCTGACAAGGATGTTTTCCTCTTTTGATTAGATCTCACCCACATCATTTTTGCCCTTTCACAGACCATGATGAAAAGATGGCTATTTTGTTTACACTATATCATCATTTATTTGCTCTACATCAATACTATTTTTTAAAATGATTTTTTCTTAATTTTTTTTAACAAGCAACATGTTGATTTGGTATTAAGTCACGTTTGAGAAATGCATATATTAGGGATCTTGAAAAATTATTAACGTGAAAAGGACTCTATCTCAGTGAGAGTGTACTACTTTTGTGTATACAAATTTCAGTCCCAGTAAAAATAATTAGGTAGCAGCTGGCGTAAAAAGTCTGTCTTGATATTCTTGAGAGCTGCTGCCAAAATAAATGGACAAAACTGGTGAATGTAAGACAAATTTCTGTGAAATATTCTGTAGCTGAAATTTGGAGAGAAATGTTCTTAAGGATCATCGTTAAAGGAACTGGCAATGTTATAAGTAGTCTGCTAACATTATTACAAAACTATTTTCCAAAATGGTTTATGACAAAAGTCAGAAGCTTCCTATTGCATCACAAACTGGCTATGCAAATGGTTTCTACATTCTAATATTATATTGGCCAAGTACTATGTATAGTAAGCAGTGCTTTCTGTAAATGCATCTCGTACTAGACATACTAGTAGCTAGGTTTCCTGGTGTACACATTTATACGTTCCTCTGTATAGCATGTTTAGTGGCTCTTAAATGTTAGACTACATTGGAGGAGTTAACTCCCACAATTTTGGACTATTGGATTGAAACTATTATCTCTCAGGAGATCTTTCTCTTATACTGTTATTCCAAATGTATTTTTTAAAAAAACTGAATCATTCTGGATTGTGTGAATTAGCGCTCTGTTTCCTACATTCAAAGAATTGAGTGTTCTGCGTAGACAGAAAGGAAACATTTATTTTCTCTGTACTGGTTTCAGGACTGAGTCCTGAATAAATGCAGAAGCATTCTGTGTCGCTGCTCTGAGCTTCCTCTTTCCTTCCAGTTCAGTGTGTGCATCTGAGCTAGGTACAGGCTGAGGATGTATCTAATAATTCTGTGGAAGCTGCAGAAATCCTCTAATGTTGTACCACCACAATAATATACTTCTTGAGATGTTGGAATCATAAAATATAGTATTTCAGTCACTGTACCTTAAATCAATCCTTGGAATTTTGCTAGTTAACATATAGATAGAGTTGGTAATCAAGCAGAGTAATGAGAAGGTTTGAACAGAATTATGTTGGGTTCAGAAAGTATTTTTAGGCCAATGAAGGAGGAGAAAATGGCAGATACATCAGCAGTATCTCTTTGTCCAGTCAACAGAAGTAGTGACCCAGAGCTCAGGGGGAGAATTCAATTCTCTAATTACCCTTTGTGTTTTGTCTTTTAACTCTTATAATTTCCCCACTGCTTTCTTTAATACATGTTTGTTTTTATGTATTAACAGAGTATTTCCCTTTTTTCATGCAGAATTTTGGACTGGATTATGATGCCTTTCAGCACATGGTGGGAGATTGTCCCCCCAACTTTCTCCAATTAGCCTTCAACTGTTGCAACGTTAGTATATAAAAAAAACTAAATTAGAGTCCTTAGCAAATCTCAGCTTATGTTAAATTTAAAAAATGCAATGCTCAATGCATTGGGAGCTTTTGTAGCTCAGAGAAATTATTCATGAAGTATTTTGAACGCAAAATATATTTATTAATTAGTTTAGATGTGTAGATTTAGCATAAAAGGGACAAAGGATATAAAATATATAAAGTAAGGATATAAAAAGCTATCACTATTCTTCTTTTCTATACTATGTTAGACAAAGTCTTATGAAAATGAAACAATCAGTACATTTTCTTTTATATAGTGTTTCTGCAACTGTATGTGCACAAAATGTGAATGGTAAAACATTTTTATATTGTTAGAATAGCACGCAGGTATAGATTTTGTGTTATGTGTTTAATTTATCATTTATTCTTATCTTCATAGATGGATCCAAAGTTACGTCCTTCATTTGCTGATATTGTCAAAACACTGGAGGAAATTCTAAGCAATTTGAAAAGAGAAGATGACGAAAGAGAACGGAAGCTTCTAAGTCTGGACACTACAGATCGAAAACCTATCTCTGTTTCCAAAGGTAGGATCAAAGAATATAGTCATAAAACTGCCCAGCTTGCTAAGCAAACATTAAATATTTTATGTTAATTAAATGTGTCTTTATTTCTAAATAGGAAACATTGTATTTCCCAATATTCTAACCAAGTCCGATTAAATATAATAGGAATTATATTTAATTCAATATTTATATATTGAATAAGAGTCAATTTACTTAAAAGTTTAATTGGAACTACAGTGTGATGTCACAGCATATCCAGTATCTATTTACTTTCTATCTTCCTTGAAGAATCAAATTTAGTCCACAGACATATTTGCCAAGCACGTAGTTTCTTAAGTCACTCTCATAGATTGAAACTTGCTGTATTTGATTTTTTTTTTTAAGTTAACTTGAGGGAGCTGTATAAACAACATTAGTCTACTCTTACCTGAACAAGCTGATATATGGAATACCCAGTCGCATTGCACAATTGTTTGTAAGCAACTAAAAATTAAGGATAGAATAATCCAATCACACCTTTGTGGCTCTCTGATTGACAGTTATTTCAGCACCTTCTGTGTATGTCTCTGTTGTCTTACATAATTTCTATTGCACCTCAGTCCTGAGATTCTGGGTGGATCACAAGAATAAGCGCAAAACAGAAAATCATAAAAACAGCCACTGCAGTAGTAATATATATATGCATAATAAATAAGTACAACTAGTAACAAAAATAGCAACCACCACCATAAATGCACTAAAAGGCTCAACAAAATATGATTTTTTTTCACCTCCCACCTAAATGTTAACCAAGAGGATGCCATTGTAGCCACAGGGGCAAGCTGGGGCAACCACAGAAAAAGCTGGCTTTCTGTTTCTTTCTTCTGTAGACCTCATAATGAAGGGCAAGAATCTGCAACACTCCTTCCAAACTCAAATGTATAGGATGGGCAGATTTGGAGAAGATGGCCCAAATCAGATTTTTAAATAGATAGATTTGGAGTTCACTGGCTTTTTTTCATGAAAGAGAGGCCTTCCACTTCAGAGGCAGTCCAATCTCAGGACTTTTCTCTCTGCCCCTGAAAAATTATCACCTCTCACATTAGAATCAATGGGAAACATGTGAAAGTTTCCCAGTTGGCATGCATGATATAAAGGTGTGGTTGGGTCAGGAAAAAATGAAGCTTTG